TCTATTACCGCTAACTGTACAGTTGTGATATAGTGACTTTCCTCTTTCCTCTCTATAGTTCATATATGTAGTTCCATTGGATTGTCCACTGTTTATATATATATGTTTTTTCCCTTTCCTCTTCATCTATGAGTCAGTTGTTGTTTTTCTTCTTTCCCGGTGATATACTTATTATTATCATTATTTTTATTATTATCATATTTGTTATTATTTCTTCCTTTTGTTACCTTTCTCTTTCTTTTCCATTATATTATCATTCTCATCCTCATTGTTATTAATAAAACATTAACCGGTTAATTAACCTATTCTCTTCATTTATCATTACAAGATCCGGTAAGAATGTTTATTTACTTTTACATGAGATCTCTCGTTCCCGTTGCAGACCGGGTATTTAATATTTGATTGTTTTCTGGCCTAACCTTAGAGTGGAGCAAGAGTCTAAGACATTCCCATAAACGAGAACCTCACACAGGTGGGAGTAAAGCTGTTGTAAAATCATTTATTTCCTGAGGTTTGAGAGATTTAAGAAATTGTTGTGGGTTTGTTGTTGAAGGTGCCATTTAAAATTATTCAATATTGTTCAACTTGATAGTGGTGTGTATAGCGGACGTTATATACACATAGTATATATATAGACATTGAATTCATCGAGTGTTATGTTTTGTGAATGATCAAAAGTGATCACTAATGGTTATTGTCAAATAGATAAACTAATTAACGGTAGAGGGGAAGTGGTGAATAGCCAATTATGATTAGTGGTGTGTGTCACTGAAATAGAACGATCATATTATAAGTCAGAACATTCAATAATAGTGATAGACACTGTTAACATTCAAGCTAACGTATTCAATTTTTTGTTTCTGATTCTTTCGTTGTTTTTGTGTATTTGTTTTTTCTGTTTGTTATTCATTTATTCTTTCGTTTTTTTTTGTATATTTACTTTTTCTTCTTTATTGTTATCTATTTATTGTTTCGTTTTTTTCGTATATTTATTCTTTGTTGTTTCTGTATATTTATTGTTTGTTTTTTTTCTCATTTCTGTATTTTTTCTGGTGTAGATTGATTGTGTGATTGTTGAATAATTATGTTTCCTGTCAATGTTTTTTTCTTTAATGAGCGTAATCGTCAATGGACCGACCCTGGGAAGTGTTACATAGCACAAATTTTGGCGGCTAGTCCATATCCAACAGAACGTGAAAAGGAAGAAATTGCAGTGGCAGTGGGATTGCCGTATAAATCGATAGTGGTGAGCAAAAAAAAAAAAGAAGGTTACCGGTTTTTGCGTTTTTTTAGAACAAGCTCAAGGATGCTAGACGTGGTGCTCGACTAGGAAGAGTACGCGTGAACGTGGTGGCACCCGTAATTCCGGAAGCAGAAGTCGTGGAACAAGAAGTTGGGGTGGGTCAAACATTTCTCCGGATGATTAGCAAGGCACAATGTGAGCAACTGTACAAACAAATGAAAGATGCTGGCGATTATCTTCAGCTCATCAATCCACGGCATATCAAACCAGCATTAACCATGGAAGAGTTAAGAAAGATGACTGGTCCCAAAAATTGTGATGGTAAGTTTTTTTCATTTTTTTATTATTGTTTTGAGTTCAGTCTTCAGGTCCTCACTTTGTGGAATGGCTATCCTGTTTAATAATGGAAAGATGCCTATCAGAGCCACAGCTAGAAAGAGGAATAGTACTGTACAAGAATAGCAAAACATTCCGCGGCCTCACCAAGCAAATCAATAAATGTTGCAAGCAATTTAAAAAAGAACATATTTCAATTCAAAAGCATCATATCATCCTCCGAATCAAGGAAGATAAGCTTCCACCGTTATCGTCGCGAACCGACTGCATGGCAGGTAAAAGAAAAATCTTTTATATCATTCATCTTAGATTGATTTCTGTTTCTTTTAGGGTCACACTTGTGCGACACAAATGGTTGCATATCACAAGAGCATATTGTCCTCGAATCAATGGAAATCAATCACAACCGGGCACGCCGTGCTGGAATTATTTTGACCATCTCTCCAGCAACACCAACATCACCACCACATATTTTAAAAGCAAAACCGTGTCGACATGGCCTCAATCATCCTAAATCGGACGATGATGACTTTTTGTTTAGCTGTCGAAGAATTCAATGTATATTTCTTGATCAAATTTCACTTGATTTTTTAAATAAACAAAAATAAAAAATAATATCATTTTCAAAATCATTCTCAAAATATAAAAACACAGTGCATTTCAATAAAAATTTGTGCTGATTCAATCGGCTTCAGACCGATTTGATATTTGCACTTCACAGCTGTGTATAGATTCAAAATAATGTATTCAAACATTGTAAAATCATCAATTTCTGATTACATAATTTACGAATTTTATTTAAATTTACTCAATTATATTATTCTTCATCATTAGAAAAAATGTTTCAAACATTTTCAAATTATATTTTTTTTAAAATCACGTATTAAAAGAGATTGAATCATGATTTCCAATTGATCGAAAGAAATATCTAAGCGATTTAAAGATACATGTGTCAAATGTATTGACGAAGCTGAATATAATTGTATTTGTGTAATAGGAGAATACTATGGTGAATCAATCGACAAATGCTTAAGATGAGGAATATATGATAAAAGATTATTGAGATCATTCAGAACATGTGTACTATTTAAAATAAAATATTCAATAGGACTAGATTCTTTCATTGCAATAGGTAATTGTTCAGGTTGATTGGAATCATCTAATGATAGTTTACAATATTTTAATGGACGTAAACGAAATACTTGTTTATAAAGTTTATTTTTATTTTGAATTTCATCTTCACAATTAATTATTAAAGAAGATAGATAAGGTAAGATGAATAAATATTTGAGAAGATTTTCAAAATATATGGATGAAATCTTATTAAGGATAAGTGTTTCAAGTTTTATTAATTTTAATTCAATACTAGTAGATGAAAAAATACCATCAATAATAAATGGATTTGATAGATAAAGTGATTTAATTCGTTCGATGTTGATTAGGTATAATAGTTTGTGTATAATAACGTTGAAAAGTTGATTTTGATGCAGATAAAAGTTTAATTTTTATTAGAAAATTTGAATAAATAAAAAAATTTTGAAATCGAATATTAAGATTAGAGAAAGTTTCATATAAATGAAAAAAATCAAGAAATTCAAAAATTTCATAAATAATTTCATTAGAAAGATCTTCAAAACGTGCGGTTGAATTTCTTGATAAATTAAAAACAAAAAAAAAAGAAGATTAAATATTTAAGTTGAAAAATCTTCTATATTAAACGACCTTTTACCATCAACTGTCACCTTCTTTTTCTTATTTCCATCTGTAACACTATTTTTTCGTTTTATTTATTCCATAACAAAATTAAAATAATATTTTCAAACTGATTATGTGCTTTATTAAAAGAAAACTGATCTACACATATAATATTTCGTAATGTTTTTCTTTAAAAAAAATAAAATTCTTATTATACAGAAAAGAAAAGAAAAATATTTATTGACATAAGAAAGGAAAAAAGAAGTTTGTCAATGTGAGATCTACATCCATGTGCGAACAAGTGTTATTTGCATTTACGATTGACGAATCAACATTGATAGTGGCCGTTAAAGTACACTAACTTATTCCTTAAAGCCGATATTCCCGAGTGTATATACCAGATTAAAATAAAAGCAGACATCAAAATTATTATTGATTCTAAATACGTTTATTTTCTTATTAATGAATCATATGTTAACATCAAGATAATTGTAAAATTCCATCATAACGTTCATATCCATCTTCGACAATATATTTTTCTCGAGAAATTTGAAAATTATTTTTTTCATAAAATCGAATTGCTTGTTCATTATCAATCAATACACCAGCCCATGCAATTATTCGTTTCTTGCCTAATCGTTTAGCTAAATTAATCATCAAATAAAGAAGTTTACTACCTAGATGTTGATTTTGATATTCATCCATGATACAGGGTGCGAATTGAATGTCACTATCTTGATTTAGTTCTATACCATATTTGCGATATCGTTTTATATCAAATTCTACTAAATGAAAATTGAACTTGAATAATGCAATAATTTTTCCATTCTCAGTAATCGCTACCATTTGTAATGTTTCATTTTGATTAATTTCATTATAATATGTTTGTGCACATTGTAAATCATAGCTGGGATAAGTGGCGAATCGACGTGCTCTCTCTGATAAACATTCGAGAAATTGTTGTAATGCAAATATATCATTATGTAATAACGGTCGAAATAAACTTTTTTCTGAACCAGTTGTTTTATTCAGATGAATAGTTTGGGTAACCAAGGTTGGATTTTGAGCAATTAGGTCTAGTGTTAATAAATCTGTCGACATTTTCTACCTTGTAAATTTGTGTCAGTGTGAAGTTTCTATTGCGTTGAACAATTATGAAAATGTATCTTCAACTATCTTATTATTTAGTACATCACATACCAAACTTGATCCTTTTTTCTTTCTTTTTGAATACGCTCATGGTATGACAACAGATACAGTGAGTTGATAGTGTGATGGAGACATGTAAATTGTGTAGTTACACTTTTCTCCCATAGATATACTGTTATTTATGTGGTGCACTGCTGATATTTGCTTTATTTTGCCTCTTTTTCTCTTCCAATAGCGTATGTTCTCGATTCTTTTATTCTTTGAGAACAAATATAAAGTCTTGCTAGTGAGATAGAGGTTTATAAGTTGCATGATTATATTTTTTCATTACTTTTCAAGGGAGAATACAACTTTATCATTGTTTGATAAAGGTTAATCCATCTACTCTCAAAAAAAAAAAGGAGTTTTGCAGAACCCTCCAAAAAGGTTCTGTAGATTTCCAAAAGGCTCCAAATGTGCCCAAAGTCTAAAAAAAAGGATAAAAAATTCGACAGAACGTTTTGAAGGTTCTGTGGAGTATCCACTAGCAGAACCACCTCTTGCAGAACCTTTTTTTAGGTTCTGTAGAGCAAAAAAAGGTTCAGTGAAAAAGTACGAAACCTTGAAGGTTCTGTACAAAACCATTAGGCCTTAGTACGGAACCATTAGGGTTTCTCGCGAAACGTTAATGGTTTTGTGCAGAACTCTCAAGGTTTCGTACTTTTTCACTGAACCTTTTTTTGCTCTACAGAACCTAAAAAAAGGTTCTGCAATAGATGGTTCTGCTAGTGGATACTCCACAGAACCTTCAAAAGGTTCTGTCGAATTTTTTATTCCTTTTTTGAGACTTTGGGTACATTTGGAGTCTTTTGGAAATCTACAGAACCTTTTTGGAGGGTTCTGCAAAACTCCTTTTTTTTTTAGAGAGTACTGAAGGCCAAAAATTGAGGGCGGAGCGACAAAAAAATTTTCTTTTCGCAAACTCTAATCGAAAAAGTTGATGATTACAGCTCATTATTTGGGTCCAATATCACACTCTATAAGTTTCATCTGAGTCCCATGCTCTGAATCTGAGATCCAGCATACTCAAAAATCCTGGCTCTGCCACTACTTGACTGGTTTTGACATTTCTAAGCTTAATTGAATAAATCCACATCTTAAGAAAACTCTAATAGTTCAAGTACTTTCACTTCTGAATTAGCTGCAATGTCGCTGACAGATTCAATTTTGCCGACTAATTCTTTTATAAGATCTATCCTATAACAGAAGACGCGCAAAAGTCACATTAACAAAATTAGATTTAATTACTTTGTTTCTGATTTTGTTTTCTTTCTTGCATTAACAGTCTTCTTTGTCGTGGAGCTAATTGTTGCAGGAACATCAGGCTTTGAAATGGATACAATATTTGAAGCATTTGTTGAATTAGTTGCGTTTCCATGAACAAGATTATTTGGTTCATCATTATTGATTGTTAATGTAGCACTATCATCTACCTGTTCTGATATTTGTGTTGCATTTAAATCAGGTAATGAAGCATTATTAATATCATCCAAAAATTCTGCTTGTTCTTCTTCTGTTACGATTGAATCAGATAAAAGACTCTCATTGTTATATGGTCGTTCTCCTGAGAAAAAAAAATATGAAAGAATTTAAACAAAAAAAAAAGAATTTCTGTTTTAAGTGCTGCTGCATAGTGTTTGAAAAGTTTGCTTCTTTGCAAAAAGTAAAAAATGTTTATCTCACCTAGAAGTTTATCAATCAAATCATAATATGGCCATGACGACGGACTGCTACCTGTTGTTCCTAATTCCTTTTTTTTCCGTCGATATTCTGTAACCATATTTCCGATTTTTGACTTAACATCAGCAGCAGTGAGAGAACGATCTTTAAGTATTTGATTTAACTGATTTGCCATTGAATGATAAACAGGACTATGTCTGGATTTGCCAGATATTAATTGAGGATAATAATCAGTCCATACACTTATGAAAGTAATTGTTTCATTTTCAGTCCAGCTTTTGCGTTTCACTATTTTCAAACCTAAAGGAGAGAGTTGCATCGATTATCTAATTAATTTAAGCTGACTTACCACTTTCTTCAACTTTCATTCTTTTACTTGACTGTTTTTGGTTTCGTTGTGCAACTTCAGAATGTGGTGAAGAAATTCTTTTTTTTTTGAAGGTGATGACATCATGTGCAAATTTAATGTTGCATTAATTGGACCTACAATTTTTGACTTTCCAGTTTTGTTGTTTTGAATAACTAAAACGTAAACGACAGAATATTTTAGTTGTTTAGTAGTTATTATTTAAGACTGAAAAGAAAGCTTTTTTTGAATTTAAAAACTGTTGTAAATCTTGCAACGTGTGCATAATGAATGGTTTTCGAGTGTAATACACTTACAAGTATCGTTTATTGGCATGATATCATTATTACTTGGTCCTTTGACTGGTGCACAAACAACAGAAGATGATGACTTTACCGATGTTTCATGAATAGGTACAGCTACAATTGAACTATTTGTCTTCACGGCTGTTGTTTCATTAGTCAAAGTAAATGTTGAGGGTAATGAGTTTACAATAATACGAGAAGGTGTTGCAGCAGTTACTCCTGTAAAACCCTGCAGAAACTGAGCAGAAGCTATGTTGTTTTGTTGATTTAGTACAGGTCGAACAGTTCGAAGATGAATCGTAGCTTGTGATGGAATATTACTTTGAAAATCCTGGTTAAGAGATTTGATAACACGAATGTATTGTGGTTTCATTCTGAAATGGAAAAAGAAAATAAACAAGTTGTTTTTTTGTGTGAACTACGATTGAATTTGTATCAAATGGTCGATATTCATTTTTGACGTCGAGTAATATAATAGCGGGCATAGTTGGCGTACACATTCCGCCTGTAAAAAATGTATATATACGAGGCGCCACATCCGTTTTTTTTATTGGTGAAGGAATATAATTTCTCATTGGTGCATTAGCGTTAAATCGTCTCGAAAAGATGACTTATTTCTGTTTTATTAGTTCTAATCATATCATTGGTTAATTCAGTTTTAAATTGTTCGGTCTGT